TTTCATAATGTCCTCCCACAAAGGTACCTGCCCTATCCAGAGTAGCCTACTCTCCCATCTCTGACAGCTTGAATTGATAGCTAATCCTTTCACCCTCTTCCATAGCTACCTACCTAGCTACAAATGCATTTAGTTAAAACGATAAATACATCAAGATAGCTAACTAGCTAATATGAAGTTAGCAAGCTGGTGATATTTAATTAACTTAGCTAGCTATACAGTTTGTAAGTTCCAGTCCCTGACTCCCGAGTGGCACAGTGGTCTAAGGTACTGCATCGCAGTGCTAGCTGTGCCACTAGAGATCCTGGTTCGAGTCCAGGCTCTGTCGCAGCCGGCCGCGACCAGGAGACCTATGGGCGGCGCACAATTGGTCCAGCGTCGTCCAAGGTAGGGGAGGGTTTGGCCGGCAGGGATGTGGGTTTGTTTCCCAAGGGGGGCCAGTATGAAAAAAAAAAAATTCTAAACATGTATGCATTCACTAACTGTAAGTCGCTCTGGATAAGAGCGTCTGCTAAATGACTAAAATGTAAATATAAAGTTAGCTAACTAGCGAGCATTACATTAGCAGCTCATTTGAGTCAGCCTACACAATACGTTTCAGTAGCAAGGTAGCTAATAACAAATTTTTTTATCATTTTCAAAATATATATACTTACTTGAATAGGTTCTCTCACTGCTTCCATTTTCTGGGTCCTTAGAAAAAACTAAATAATCGGCAATCTTCCCGAAGTTTCCGGTGGTAGCAAAACGCAACCAGCCATGTGGACGATTGGAGGACTTCCAATAGACTGACTTTGGTCTTCCAACACAGTGCCTGGTGCGGTTGCTAGGTGATTTGTGACAAAACTGCAAACCCTCTAAAGGAACTTTTATAAACAATAGGAGCTACACTAATATATATATATATATATATATATATATATATATATATATATATATATATATATATATATATATATATATATATATATATATATATATATATACATACATACACACACACACACACACACACACACACACACATACACAGTGAGGGAAAAAAGTATTTGATCCCCTGCTGATTTTGTACATTTGCCCACTGACAAAGACATGATCAATCTATAATTTTAATGGTAGGTTTATTTGTACAGTGAGAGACAGAATAACATCAACCAAAATCCAGAAAAACGCATGTCAGAAATGTTATAAATTGATTTGCATTTTAATGAGGGAAATAAGTATTTGACCCCTCTGCAAAACATGACTTAGTACTTGGTGGCAAAACCCTTGCTGGCAATCACAGAGGTCAGACGTTTCTTGTAGTTGGCCACCAGGTTTGCACACATCTCAGGAGGGATTTTGTTCCACTCCTCTTTGCAGGTCTTCTCCAAGTCATTAAGGTTTCGAGGCTGACGTTTGGCAACTCGAACCTTCAGCTCCCTCCACAGATTTTCTACGGGATTAAGGTCTGGAGACTGGCTAGGCCACTCCAGGACCTTAATGTGCTTCTTCTTGAGCCACTTCTTTGTTGCCTTGGCCGTGTGTTTTGGGTCATTGTCATGCTGGAATACCCATCCACGACCCATTTTCAATGCCCTGGCTGAGGGAAGGAGGTTCTCACCCAAGATTTGACGGTACATGGCCCCGTCCATCGTCCCTTTAATGCGGTGAAGTTGTCCTGTCCCCTTAGCAGAAAAACACCCCCAAAGCATAATGTTTCCACCTCCATGTTTGACGGTGGGGATGGTGTTCTTGGGGTCATAGGCAGCATTCCTCCTCCTCCAAACACGGCGAGTTGAGTTGATGCCAAAGAGCTCGATTTTGGTCTCATCTGACCACAACACTTTTAGCCAGTTCTCCTCTGAATCATTCAGATGTTCATTGGCAAACTTCAGACGGGCCTGTATATGTGCTTTCTTGAGCAGGGGGACCTTGTGGGCGCTGCAGGATTTCAGTCTTTCACGGCGTAGTGTGTTACCAATTGTTTTCTTGGTGACTATGGTCCCAGCTGCCTTGAGATCATTGACAAGATCCTCCCGTGTAGTTCTGGGCTGATTCCTCACCGTTCTCATGATCATTGTGGTCCTCTGTAGCTCAGCTGGTAGAGCACGGCGCTTGTAACGCCAAGGTAGTGGGTTCGATCCCCGGGACCACCCATACACAAAAATGTATGCACGCATGACTGTAAGTCGCTTTGGATAAAAGCGTCTGCTAAATGGCATATTATTATTTATATTATTTTATCATTGCAACTTCCCTCATTAAAATGCAAATCAATTTATAACATTTTTGACATGCGTTTTTCTGAAATTTTTTGCTGTTATTCTGTCTCTCAATGTGGTCCTCTGTAGCTCAGCTGGTAGAGCACGGCGCTTGTAACGCCAAGGTAGTGGGCTCGATCCCCGGGACCACACATACACAAAAATGTATGCACGCATGACTGTAAGTCGCTTTGGATAAAAGCGTCTGCTAAATGGCATATTATTATTAAATAAACCTACCATTAAAATTATAGACTGATCAATTCTTTGTCAGTCTATATCAATACTTTTTTCCCCTCACTGTATATAAATATATACACAAATGTATGTGGACACCCCTTCAAATTATTGGATTAGGCTATTTCAGCCACACTCATTGCTGATAGGTGTATAAAATCGAGCACACAGCCATGGAATCTCCATAGACAATCATTGGCAGTAGAATGGCCCGTACTGAAGAGCTCAGTGACTTTCAATGTGGCACCGTCATAGGATGCCACCTTTCCAATAAGTCAGGTTGTCAAGTTTCTGCCCTGCTAGAGCTGCCCCAGTCAACTGTAAGTGCTGTTATTGTGAAGTGGAAACGTCTAGGAGCAACAACTGCTCAGCCGCGAAGTGGTAGGCCAAACAAGCTCACAGAACGGGACCGCTGAAGCACGTAGCGTGTAAAAATCGTCTGTCCTCAGTTGTAACACTCACTACCGAGTTCCAAACTGCCTCTGGAAGCAACATCAGCACAAGAACTGTTTGTCGGGAGCTTCATGAAATGGGTTTCCATGGCCGAGCAGCCGCACACAAGCCTAAGATCACCATGCGCAATGCCAAGTGTCAGCTGGAGTGGTGTAAAGCTCGCTGCCATTGGACTCTGGAGCAGTGGAAACACGTTCTCTGGAGTGATGAATCACACTTCACCATCTGGCAGTCTGACGAATCTGGGTTTGGCGGATGCCAGGAGAACTCTACCTGCCCCAATGCATAGTGCCAACCGTAAAGTTTTGTAAAGGAGGAATAATGGTCTGGGGATGTTTTTCATGGTTCGGGCTAGGCCCCTTAGTTCCAGTGAAGGAAAATCTTAACGCTACAGCATACAATGACATTCTAGACAATTCTGTGCTTCTAACTTCGTGCCAACAGTTGGGGGAAGGCCCTTTCCTTTTTTCAGCATGACAATGCCCCCGTGCACAAAGCGAGGTCCATACAGAAATGGTTTGTCGAGATCGGTGTGGAAGAACTTGACTGGCCTCCACAGAGCCCTGACATCAACCTCATTGGAATGAATTGGAACGCCGACTGTGAGCCAGACCTAATCGCCCAACATCAGTGCCTGACCTCACTAATGCTCTTGTGGCTGAATGGAAGCAAGTACCCGCAGCAATGTTCCAACATCTAGTGGAAAGCCTTCCCAGAAGAGTGGAGGCTGTTATAGCAGCAAAGGGGGGACTAACTACATATTAATGCCCATGATTTTGGAATAAGGAGGAGCAGGTGTACACATACTTTTGGTCATATAGTGTATGTTGACACGGCCAAGTTGATCTGAGCCTTGCTGTTGGAAAACCACCAGTGTTCAACTTTCGGCATCACTCTCCAACCTTCGTCTACAGTCGGCTTCATTATACTTACTGCTCGAACACACCCTATTTCTTCTTCTCCGAGTGTATTGTCCAGTCCCGCCAGGATTCCATGATTCTGCGATCGCATATAATGTAAGGGCTTGCAAATTTGACCAATCACTGCACTATTTCAGCATAAAACAGTCAAATCATCGCGGGTATCGCATCAAACCGACCCATCAACGTAATACAAAAAGAGGGCATGCAATTTAGACCAATCACTGCACATTTACCACATAATATGGCTCAATCAAGCCACACATAAACAAACTTTTTCCCTCATCAGCACATTTTTGCGACAAATTGGCCAAAACCATTGCATATTGCCATGCAAAATCAAGCATTTTTGCCCGCAAATATCACAAGAAATCCCTGCAAAATCCTGGAGGGACTAATTGGCACTTGGTAAATAAACTGAAAAGGTTCCTACCCCCATCTATGTGCTGGAGTGTGTATAGTCTGAACACGTATAAAATCAAGGGTGATTAGCTGACCCCTTCTGCTGACCTGGATGGAATTCTGTGATCCTTCCTTAACCTATATCAAGTCCCACCCAGTTGACTACAACAAAATCAATCGCGCGGCACATCATGCTAAATCAGGTTTTGGGGCCAAGTGGCTTTGACTTTGGGCCATATCAAATTCTATGAGACAAACTGACATGGGAACAACAGGTAGGGCAGCTGACAGGTGTGACATGATGGGAGGAATGTCTGTCTATGCTAGGGTGAAATTATATTGAGGAAATCAAACCAAATGGGGCATCCACACCTACATTCCACAATGATCAGATCACAGTATAATTCAACAGGTGAGATGATATTCATAGCATATAAAAGCACCTCGATGGAACAAACTTGTTTTGACCTTTCATGAGGTATTGTGATGATAATTGTAGGCTATAAACACCTTGATAGAACAAAACCGTTTGTATCCCGGCTCAGGTGTAATCTTATCAAAGGTGGGGGTGGGACTCAAGAAACTGGACTACAATGATTGCACTTGCAAATAACATCACAAAGCCTAGATATTGGTCAGGCATGAATGCTATACAGAACAAAATCACTCTTATCTGTCTTTGCAGTTCCATTCCTAACATACTATATGTAACTCATAAACAAAAAACAAGCTTGATCAGTCACCTGATTATGACATCATTGGAGTCGATGAGGGCTCCGTAGCGGGAGCCCTTGAGGTTCCCTGAGTTCCCCACCACAGCACAGGTCCTACAGCGCTCAGGGCCCGCGTCCATGTAAAGGTCAGCATCAGGGATGACCTGGAACAACTTCTCCACCACCTCGCTGAAGTTGGCCGGCTCTTGCTCTGCCTGCAACCACTGGAGAGAGACCGTCAAGCCTTTAGCTCGGTCTTCAACCACTCGAGACAAAGCAGAGACAGTGGAGGTAGGGACACAGCAGAGACAGGGAAGAGGTAGAAACACAGCAGAGACAGCCCAGCTAGCACATAACGTTCTGAGAACCATATGTTTCTTAGAGCTTGGTGAGAGCGTGATGGTCTTATGGTTATTTTGCATACAAACTTCCCATAACATTTCCTACAGGTTTCCTCATGGTTCTATTTAAAGTATGTTCTCAGAACATTAAGAAACCGTTAGTAAGGTTCAAAGAACATTCTAAGAAAGTTATTTTAAGACATACTTTCTGTTCTCAGCATAAAAAAACTGTATCCTCTATCTTGTTAAAGGGATACTTTATCTCCTTCCCCAGAGTCAGATGAACTCATGGATACCATTTGTATGCCTGCGTGCAGTTTGAAGTAAGTTGCTAAGAAGCATTAACGCAATTGCTATATAGCATTAACACAATGACTGGAAGTCGGCTAACATGCTAGCAGATACCCATAGACTTCTAGTCATTGCGCTAATGCTAGTTAGCATTGGCTCTCAAAACTACCTCTTAACTTCCTTCATACTGGACACAGAGACATAAAAATGGTATCCACTAGTTCATCTGACTCTAGGGAAGTAGATAAAGGGCATCATTGTAGTTGCTGGAGATAGAGAAAGACTGCAAGAGAGGGCTAGTGCGTGCACTGATTTAAAGCAACAATATTTGAGTAATAGGCCGTTTTAAAACTCTGCAGCTGCAATTAAAAGACAATAATCTTTACAATTAAAAATCAAGGTGACCCCCAAAAGCCAGATGGAGATGGATAAATTAGACGTGCATTCGGTCTTTATATTACTGTAGCATAGACTATTCTGCAGCAAATGCAGGCCTACCTGTCACAAGAAAAAAAGTTACCATGATAAGGAAAAGGTCAGTTGTACAACTGAAATGTGTCTTCCACATTTAACCCAACCCCTCTGAATCAGAGGTGCGGAGGACTGCCTTAATCGACATCCACGTCTTCAGCACCCGGGAAACAGGGGCAGAATGACAGATTTGTACCTTGTCAGCTCGGGGATTCGATCCAGCAACCTTACTGAACTGCGTTCCATACTGAGATGGGCTGTCTGTCCAGACCCTGAGCGTTGAGGATTCATCATGTAGAGGCCGTAGAGAAGCCCGATTTAAACATTGCATATAATTTAATAGTTCCATTTTACGCCATGCTGTTCATATAAATAATTGATTATAACTTACCAGTTTCTCAGTTATTTATTCGGGGAAAAACCTGGCTACCCGGTAAATCTCGGTAACCGGGTTCCCGCCATTCAACCCTAGCACACACCAAGACACTTTTTTTGACAGAGCCAGTAGTTGGACCTAGACAGTGCTCATCAAGCCTCACCTCTTATGAAACAAGTTGTGAGTAACAGGAGGTTACCTAGTTATTGTTCCATCTACTCTTCCATCTAATTGGCCAAGGTGAATGTGATAACCTCATCTCCATAGAACCCTCTGATTGGACACGACATGCTGTCGATGTCACGTCTCAGGGCATGTGATCCTTCCACCTCCAAGGTGTATCTCCTGCAATCAGCCCCAGAATCAATTCTAATTTACAAGAAAGTGTTCCTAACTGACTAAGAGGGGACTTTTGATGTTTGAATTGAAACGAGCGACGGTATACCATTTGACGTTGAACCGGGCTGTTCCTAAGTGATTGGCAGCTCATTCTTCATTGTATATGACCTTGCTTTAGAAAAACCAAGAACAAACTGACAAACTGTGATGCAGTGGTTTTGAGGCCAGAATAATGAAGAGCTCAATATACCACAGATTAGGTTCAAAAATAGAATATCTCTGAAATACTGAGCAACAGGGAGTGGAACGTTTTTAAAAAATATTTATTGGATCTAGACTTCTCTAGCAATGTTGAATGGTATTCATTAAGTAGTCATTCAGTTCTTTCTGGTGGAATCTTAGAAATTAGCCACCTCAAAGTTCATGGGCATTGGTAGGTACAGTATCATGAATAACCATGTCATGGACAAAATGTTTTCTTCCTTGTCCTGATGTGACTGAACCAAACTCACCTGTGTGGTTATTCACCCGAAAGTCTCAGAACCTGCCATCACCTGTACCTGTCATCAGTCAGCAGACGGTTCCTCCAGATAATCACAGGGTGGACTAATCCAAACTCTCTAACCCTAACCCTTGCTTCATGTCCACATCCCAGTTCAACCCTAACCCTAGCCTCAACCCTAATCCTACCCTTGCTTCATGTCCACATCCCGGTTTAACCCTAGCCTCAACCCTAGCTTCATGTCCACATCCCGGTTTAACCCTAGTCTCAACCCTAACCCTTGCTTCATGTCCACATCCTGGTTCAACCCTAACCCTAGCCTCAACCCTAACCCTAGCTTCATGTCCACATCCCGGTTCGATCCTAACCTCAACCCTAACCTTAGCCTCAACCCTAACCCTAACTTCATGTCCACATCCTGGTTCAACCCTAGCTTCATGTCCACATTCTGGTTCAGCCCTAACCCTAGCTTCATTTCCACATCCCGGTTCAACCCTAACCCTAGCTTCAAGTCCACATCCCAATTCAACCCTAACCCTTGCAGTGGTAACATCTCACCTGCCACCAGCGGTATGTGTCGTCAGTCAGCAGGCTGTTCCTCCTAGACATCAGAGGGTGGACCGACAGGTTGAACCGCTCAGTGAACCAGGGGTCGTCCTCCAGCTCAGTCATACACTGTCGACAGCCACACTGGCCCTTAGAGAAGAAGCTGTCCGACTTGCGGATGGCGTATTTGAAGAAGTACAGAGAGGGATCTCTCAACGTGTAACTGAAGAGGAACGTGGTGAACGTTACAATGCAGGAAAACACAGTAAATGCCCTGATCTTCCTCCACTTCGATAGAGACATGGTGTAGTGGTAGATTAAAAACTCAGTTGTCTGGGAGGTAGAGGGAAGGGAAAACCAGAGAGAAGCCCCTTATTGAAAATTCCAATTTCCAAGTGACATCTGAGAATATTTCCTCCCCTGGAGATTTCGTGGCACTAACAGGCTGAACGCTGGGTTCCTCTGATGAACAGAAACAGTCCCTGTCTTCCTCATCACAATTACAGGCTCCCCTTCACACTGTTGGAAAACAACAACATCTCAGAGTAAAAAGCTGACCGGAATACTAGTTCCTTATAATTTGTAGGGAAAGCCTTGGCATTCTGTAGGAAAATGTTAGGTCAGACAAAAATCACATAGATGAGGAATCCTTGTGTATGTCCATTACTCGTCTGCTGACCAATAATACAGTAATTCCACTGTGGTACACAATCCAGGATGGTCCTGTCAATTTAACAATGGCCCGGTAACTACATCCAGCTGTTCTTCTGCTGTTGACAGTGTGAGATCAGTGACTGGTGCGTCTAGCATTCTCTGCCTGTCCAGTCAATCATCTACCTAGACAGCAAACAAATGGAAGACATTTTTAAAAAAATACACACATTGCTGGGTAAATTAATGATCATATGTGATAAAACATTTCCCTTCAACAGCTAAAAACAGAGAAGCAGGAAGACCTCCTGGGATCTACTTCTACATGGAAGGACATCAGAGCTCCACCATCCAGCAGAAAGGCTGTTAAATGCACAGAAACACAGAACATTTCACAATATTATTCACATTCAGCCAAGGCAAGTCTATTGCCATTTTCCACACCAAAAAACGCTCGTCAAATTATAGGCCAAGGTGATAAAATGAGGGATTAGCACAAAAACATACTAACTTCACCTTTTTGCTCTTTACAATCTGTGGCATGTCAATGTAGTGCAGATCTCCAATACTAAGGGACACAGAGACCAGAGGCTGGAGGTGTTTTTTTAAATGGTGTTAAGGATTAACAAAAATTCAAGAGAAAGGAACAGAGTTGAACGTAACACTTAACTAGTTGCCTTGAACAAGCAGCAGCTGCTAACCATTGCCAATCAGCCGCTAACCATTGCCAATCAGCCTCAACGACTGTTTGCAACACTTAACTAGTTGCCTTGAACGTAACGCCTCAAACAAGCTCCAGCTGCTACTAACTGCTAATCAGCCTAAGTTTTCTTGCATTGGATGCGTCTCAATCGATGTCGCACTTCCGCATCTGCGGTGAAAGGTGGCAGAGCTAGAGCGGTGTTTGTCAGACCATGAGACGTCCCCAAAATCAGTCTTCTCACGAAAACGTCTGTAGCGTCTGAATGGGTTGACCTACAAACTATTATGACTACTGTATGGAAAGGGGAGACTCTCACGAACACGGAGATGCTCTACAACCCCCACAAGTGTCACGGGACTCATCTGAATGTAACTGGTACCGGTAAGAAATGTTTTATGGAAGTATGAAGGTAGTTAAATATGTGTAAAATAAATTTTAAAAAAACACATCCTGAGCTTTCTTATATCTGCTAGATATAGGACAGACACTTCAAAACCTTGTTTATGATTATTTATTTTTGGACTTTTTTGTCATTTATGAATGTTGTTCAATGCTGGGCTATTGTAGTACAGGCCATATAGTAGTAAAGCCCCCCCCCCCCCAAACAAATTGGACTTTTTAAGAATTAATCACCACTACCATCCTACTTAAATCTGACCATACAGTCATTCCTCCTCTCTGTTTTGTGTCACATCCCTTCTCCCCCCCTTTCCCCACCTTCGTTCAAGGATCTTCTGGGGGGGATTGCCTTTACCACAGCATCCTAACTACCACGGCCTGACGGTGATGTCTACCTGAGACTCCAAGCCAAACCCTACAGTCAACCCTTCCGGATCCTTCATCTGCAGACCCGGCTTCATCCAGTCCATTCTCATTCCCCTCCGAATCCTTCATCTGCAGCCCCCGGCTTCATCCAGTCCATTCTCATTCCCCTCCGGATCCTTCATCAGCAGCCCCCAGCTTCATCCAGTCCATTCTCATTTCCCCACTGAATCCTCATTCTCACATCCATTCCATTTCCTCAATAAATATTCTAAACCCATTTCATGTCTGGTCCTTAAACTCGTGAAATGAGGAATCGACCAGGAAACCCTGGGTCTGCCCTGCAGGGAGAGACGGAGGAGCAGGGGTGGTGAAGGGTGTCTGGGAGAGATGGAGGATGGTGGGTGAAGGGAGAGATGTCTGAGGCTGTGTGGGAGGGATCATGATTGCTCTGTGGACGGGTTAATCTGAGAAAAACATCACCCTCTCGTAAGGTAACTGAACTAAATGACTATCGCCCCGTAGCACTTACTTCTGTCATCATGAAGTGCTTTGAGAGGCTAGTTAAGGATCATATCACCTCCACCTTACCTGATACCCTAGACCCATTGCAATTTGCATACCGCCCCAATAAATCCACGGATTATGCATTTGCCATCGCACTGCACACTTCCCTATCCCATCGGGACAAGAGGAATATCTATGTAAGAATGCTGTTCATTGACTACAGATCAGTCTTCAACACCATAGTACCCTCCAAGCTCATCATTAAGTGCTCAGCCCCCTCCTGTACTCCCTGTTTACCCATGACTGTGTGGCCACACACGCCTCACACCTGTGTGGAGGTGTGTTGGGTCAATGTCCTGTTCAAAAACAAATGACAGTCCCACTAAGCCCAAACCAGATGGGATGCCGTATCGCTGTGGTACCCATGCTGGTTAAGTGTGCCTTGAATTCTAAATAAATCACAGACAGTGTCACCAGAAAATCAAATCAAATCAAATTGTATTGGTCACATGCGCCGAATACAACAGGTGCAGACATTACAGTGAAATGCTTACTTACAGCCCTTAACCAACAGTGCATTTTTTTTTTTTAAATAAAACAACAACCAAAAAAGTGTTGAGAAAAAAAAGAGCAGAAGTAAAATAAAGTGACAGTAGGGAGGCTATATATACAGGGGGGTACCGTTGCAGAGTCAATGTGCGGGGGCACCGGCTAGTTGAGTTAGTTGAGGTAATATGTACATGTGGGTAGAGTTAAAGTGACTATGCATAAATAATTAACAGAGTAGCAGCAGCGTAAAAAGGATGGGGTGGGGGGGCAGTGCAAATAGTCCGGGTAGCCATGATTAGCTGTTCAGGAGTCTTATGGCTTGGGGGTAGAAGCTGTTGAGAAGTCTTTTGGACCTAGACTTGGCACTCCGGTACCGCTTGCTGTGCGGTAGCAGAGAGAACAGTCTATGACTAGGGTGGCTGGAGTCTTTGACAATTTTGAGGGCCTTCCTCTGACACCGCCTGGTATAGAGGTCCTGGATGGCAGGAAGCTTGGCCCCAGTGATGTACTGGGCCGTACGCACTACCCTCTGTAGTGCCTTGCGGTCGGAGGCCAAGCAGTTGCCATACCAGGCGGTGATGCAACCAGTCAGGATGCTCTCGATGGTGCAGCTGTAGAATTTTTTGAGGATCTGAGGACCCATGCCAAATCTTTTCAGTCTCCTGAGGGGGAATAGGCTTTGTCGTGCTCTCTTCACGACTGTCTTGGTGTGTTTGGACCATGATAGTTCGTTGGTGATGTGGACACCAAGGAACTTGAAGCTCTCAACCTGTTCCACTACAGCCCCGTCGATGAGAATGGGGGCGTGCTCAGTCCTCTTTTTTTTCCTGTAGTCCACAATCATCTCCTTTGTCTTGGTCACGTTGAGGGAGAAGTTGTTGTCCTGGCACCACACGGACAGGTCTCTGACCTCCTCCCTATAGGCTGTCTCATCGTTGTCGGTGATCAGGCCTACCACTGTTGTGTCGTCCGCAAACTTAATGATGGTGTTGGAGTCGTGCCTGGCCATGCAGTCATGGGTGAACAGAGAGTACAGGAGGGGACTGAGCACGCACCCCTGAGGGGCCCCGTGTTGAGGATCAGTGTGGCAGATGTGTTGTTACCTACCCTTACCACCTGGGGGCGGCCCGTCAGGAAGTCCAAGGATCCAGTTGCAGAGGGAGGTGTTTAGTCCCAGGATCCTTAGCTTAGTGATGAGCTTAGAGGGCACTATGGTGTTGAATGCTGAGCTGTAGTCAATTAATATCATTCTCACGTAGGTGTTCCTCTTGTCCAGGTGGGAAAGGGCAGTGTGGAGTGCAATAGAGATTGCATCATCTGTGGATCTGTTGGGGCGGTATGCAAATTGGAGTGGGTCTAGGGTTTCTGGGATAATGCTGTTGATGTGAGCCATGACCAGCCTTTCAAAGCACTTCATGGCTACAGACGTCAGTGCTACGGGTCGGTAGTCATTTAGGCAGGTTATCTTAGAGTCCTTGGGCACGGGGACTATGGTGGTCTGCTTGAAACATGTTGGTATTACAGACTCAGTCAGGGACATGTTGAAAATGTCAGTGAAGACACTTGCCAGTTGGTCAGCACATGCTCGGAGTACACGTCCTGGTAATCCGTCTGGCCCTGCGGCCTTGTGAATGTTGACCTGCTTAAAAGTCTTACTCACATCGGCTACGGAGAGCGTTATCACATAGTCATCCGGAACAGCTGGTGCTCTCATGCATGCTTCAGTGTTGCTTGCCTCGAAGCGAGCATAGAAGTGGTTTAGCTTGTCTGGTAGGCTTGTGTCACTGGGCAGCTCGCGGCTGTGCTTCCCTTTGTAGTCTGTAATAGTTTTCAAGCCCTGCCACATCCGATGAGCGTCAGAGCCAGTGTAGTATGATTCAATCTTAGTCCTGTATTGACTCTTTGCCTGTTTGATGGTTCGTCGGAGGTCATAGCGGGATTTCTTATAAGCGTCCGGGTTAGAGTCCCGTTCCTTGAAAGCGGCAGCTCTACCCTTTAGCTCAGTGCGGATGTTTCCTGTAATCCATGGCTTCTGGTTGGGGGTATGTACGTACGGTCACTGTGGGGACGACATCATCGATGCACTTATTGATGAAGCCAGTGACTGATGTGGTGTATTCCTCAATGCTGTCTGAAGAATCCCGGAACATGTTCCAGTCTGTGCTAGCAAAACAGTCCTGTAGCTTAGCATCTGCGTCATCTGACCACTTTTTTATTAACCGAGTCACTGGTGCTTCCTGCTTTAGTTTTTGCTTATAAGCAGGAATCAGGAGGATAGAGTTATGGTCAGATTTGCCAAATGGAGGGCGAGGGAGAGCTTTGTATGCGTCTCTGTGTGTGGAGTAAAGGTGGTCTAGAGTTTTTTTTCCTCTGGTTGCACATTTAACATGCTGGTAGAAATTAGGTAGAACGGATTTAAGTTTCCCTGCATTAAAGTCCCCGGCCACTAGGAGCGCAGCATCTGGATGAGCGTTTTCCTGTTGATTTATGGCCTTGTACAACTCATTCAGTGCAATCTTAATGCCAGCATTGGTTTGTGGTGGTAAATAGACAGCTATGAAAAATATAGATGAAAACTCTCTTGGTAAATAGTGTGGTCTACAGCTTATCATAAGATACTCTACCTCAGGCGAGCAAAACCTCGAGACTTCCTTAGTATTTGATTTTGTGCACCAGCTGTTGTTTACAAATATACACAGACCGCCACCCCTTGTCTTACTGGAGTCAGCCGTTCTATCCTGCCGATGTAGCGTATAGCCCGCTAGCTGTATGATATCCATGTCGTCGTTCAGCCACGACTCGGTGAAACATAAGATATTACAGTTTTTAATGTCCCGTTGGTAGGATAACCGTAATCTTAAGTCATCCAATTTATTTTCAAATGATTGAACGTTGGCTAATAGGATTGATGGAAGAGGCAGTTTACTCGCTCGCCGTCGGATCCTGTGGTCCTCTGTAGCTCAGCTGGTAGAGCGCGGCGCTTGTAACGCCAAGGTAGTGGGTTCGATCCCCGGGACCACCCATACACAAAAAAAATGTATGCACGCACGACTGTAAGTCGCTTTGGATAAAAGCGTCTGCTAAATGGCATATTATATTATTTATATTATATCCTTACAAGGCACCCCGATCTACGTCCACGATATCTCCGTCTCTTCCTCACGCGAATGACGGGGATTTGGGCCTTGTCGGGTGCCGGTATGATATCCTTCGCGGCCGCCTCGTTGAAGAAAAAATCTTCGTCCAATACGAGGTGAGTAATCGCTGTCCTGATATCCAGAAGCTCTTTTTGGTTATAAGAGACGATGGCAGAAACATTATGTACAAAATAAATTACAAATAATGCGGAAAAACACACATAATAGTACAATTGGTTAGAGGGCTGTAAAACGGCAGCCATCTTCTCCGGCGCACCCTCACACCATAACACCTCCTCCTCCATGCTTTACAGTGGGAAATACACATGCAGAGATCATCCGTTCACCCACATCGCGTCTCACGAAGACACGGCGGTTGGAACCAAAAATCTCCAATTTGGACTCTAGACCAAAGGACAAATTTCCACCGGTCTAATGTCCATTACTCGTGTTTCTTGGCCCAAGCAAGTCTCTTCTTCTTATTGGTGTCCTTTAGTAGTGGTTTCTTTGCAGCAATTCGACCACGAAGGCCTGATTCACACAGTTCCCTCTGAACAGTTGATGCTGAGATGTGTCTGTTACTTGAACTCTGTGAAGCATTTATTTGGGCTGCAATTTCTGAGGCTGGTAACTCTAATGAACTTACCCTCTGCAGCAGAGGTAGCTCTGGGTATTCCATTCCTGTAGTGGTCCTCATGAGAGACAGTTTCATCATAGCGCTTGATGGTTTTTGACTGACCTTCATGTCTTCAAGTAATGATGGACTGTGGTTTCTTTTTGCTTATTTGAGCTGTTCTTGCCATAATATGGACTTGGTCTTTTACCGAATAGGGCAATCTTCTGTATACACCCCCTACCTTGTCACAACACAACTGATTGGCTCAAACGCATTAAGAAGGAAAGAAATTCCACAA